ATACTTCTCATGAATGATCGAATCGGACTCATGCTCAAACTCTTCCTAGATGATCAGACTGGACTCCACTCTTCTCGGCTGGATTTCACACTCTCCAAGAGGAGAGACATCTCTTTTCCTCTTCTTACTATTCTGGATTCCATCATCACCGAGGTCTTTTTGTGGTCCCTCAAGCTCCTCGGCCACACCACTCTTCTCGGACACGTCTGGAGGCTCGTCGTTATGGGATCAATTACGTTTCTTTCAAGCTATAATTTATTAGAATAAAGGGTTTAGGCTTGGTTTGAAAAGTACTCTGAAATTTTAGTATCGAATGACCTTGAGTACTCTAAAATCCAAGAAAAACTCTCACCCAAATCCTTTTTTCTTTTTTTTTCTAAAATCCCAACTATATAACGTGAATCTCTCCAAACTCCAATATTTTCCAAATCCCCTCAAAGTTTTAAAATCCACAATTCAATACACCCCTCTTAGAGTTTCATCAAAAAGATGAGAGACAAATATAAATGGTGTTATATAAAAAGAAACAAGATGGTTCAGAAGAAAGATTCTTCAGATCTTAATCTTTGTGTTGTAATGTTTTGTAGTTTTAATTTTAATTTTACATTTAGTTGTAATTCTATTATTTAATATACTCTTAATGTATTTTTACATTTTATTTAATACTTATTAAAAAGAATGTCTAAAGCTATCCATGTATGAGCACTAGAGGAAACAAAGTTTATTCCAAGATAATAATAATGTTGATATTGTATTTCGTTAAATTCTTTTCTACCAATTTTAAATTTGAACGTGTTGTGAACATTAACAAAATTAGGGATGACGGTAAATTAAGTTTACAGAAGTTCCATATTATGAATATTATGAAAAAGGGCAAAATTAGTTACTTAAATAATTGTTGAAGCATTGTCGTGGTTTATGAGAGCAATTGTTAATGATATTTAAAACAGTTGCTTTGTAACAGATTTTGGATGACACATCATTTTAGGGTATATATATCGGCGAGGAACCTGACCGGGTAGCATGGGCCGGGTAATGGCACCCGGTTGCAACGAAGCACCAACAACCAACTCTTCAAACCGGGTGGACTAGGCCGGGCTGGTCGAGAGTGTGCCTTACCCGCTCCGTATCACAATCTTAGTCATTATAGATAAATGCAATATATTTTCCAAGTTAAATTGAAAAATTCCTTGCATATTATGTTGAGAATATTATGTTGAGAAGACACAATTCTTTAATCTAATAATTGTAGAAAATCATCTATTAAAATATTCAAACTATTTATTTGTTTTCCTAAAATTGCATATTTAAAAAAACAAACTAATCTCAATTTTATATGAAAGAACAATTCTTAACACTAAATGAGATTCACTTATTAAGATATTTTAACTATTTTTCCCAAAAAGTTGCATATTGAAAAACAAAATTAATTGTGTTTCAAAAAAAAAAAAAATTAATTTCAGTTTTTAATGAAAAGACACAATTCTTAACATTAAATGGATTGCTATTATTAATAGATAAAGAATAAATATGTCCATCAAATTCATGGTAGATTGTGTGTTATCCTACAACATAATTCTGAGACGCTTTAGGTCTACGACATGGGAGCCATGCCTTACGTTGCCTCATAAGTCATCAATTTTTCTATCACATGAGGCATCAATGAAAAAAAATGTACCAGGATAACATCCATTCCTACTACCAAATAACTTTATAAGAAAATATTGTAGTCTTATATTAATTATAGCAATTGCCTCCACCTGCGCATACATAATAGAAAAACTAGATGAGGTACCATTGAAGGAGGGAGATCCTAGCTGGAATCTTAAGACATGATCTAAGCTATAGGTCGCCCTGAGGCAAAGACAAATAGATTTCATTCGGCCAAATTCTTACTGTTTTACCTGGTCACATGTGGATATGCCTGGCATACATTCGGAAGTCATCATGCATAAGCTGCAATTTGATTGTCGACACATCAAGTACGGCAGAGAAGCGAAAATTCCCCTAGACTGAGACACTATCGATAATAATGAGATCATAAAACTGATGGTGATCGGGTTTATAAGAGAAGTTTAATAGCCAGAATAGTTTTGGCAAACGCCGTGGTAGTATGCAATAAAAATGGCAAACTGTTAGTCTGAATAAACTTCACATATCCTAATAAATAATTTTCAAAGGACTCATTTTTCATGCCGCTTATCGTCAAGCTTTCGATGCAATTGTAGGACACTAGCTGATGAGTTTCATAGATGCGTTCTCCGGGTATAATCAAATAATCATGCACCTATATTACCAGGAGAAAACATAGTGTATGACATCAAAGGAACGCTGTTGTTACAAGGTCATACATTTTGGTCTGAAGAATGCTGGCTCTACCTACATAAAATTAATAAACATGATATTTACAGACCAGATCGGCCATACCATGGAATTCTTTATAGATGACATCATCGTCAAACAACTGATAGCATAAGACCACATCGTCCCCATGTAGCTGGCGTTCTCAACATTGAGAAAGGACAATGAATCTCACTCCCTTCAAGTGTACCTTTGGGCTTAGCTCGGGAAAATTCATGGGGCATATAGTTATGAATCGTCACATCTAGGTGAACCTAGAACAGATTAAGAAAATCCACATGATTCCTTCACGACGAAACCCTAAGGAACTACAAAACTTAACAAGAACAATGACTGCCTTAAACAGATTCATCTAACGGCTATCTGACAAGTCTTGCGCGTTATGTTAAACCTTGAAAATCCCAAAATACTTCAAATGCTTAGTCCATATATATTGTTGGATAACTCTTGATTGCACCAGGACAAAGGGCTTTCCTTTTGGTCGTAACTTGCTACTTTTCCAAATGGATGGAAGCATAAGTCTTAAGTAGATTCACTGACATTCAAGTGATAAAATTCTTTTGTGTTTTATATTATATCCAGGTTTCATAGGAGATTGTCTCAGAAACTGATCCTAATTCACCAACAATAACTTTAATAAGTGTTGTAACAATTGGCGCGTAAAGCTCACCACATTATCCTCGAGCTAATGGAAAAGTATACTCCACCAATAAAACGATGATTAACATGCTTGAAATGCGTTTAGAGAAGGAACAAGGAAAGTGGGTATATAGTTTCACATGATTCTTGTGAATATACAGAATGAACACAAAAATATCGATTGAAAACACCCTATTCACTTGTCTATGACATGGAAGCAATACTTCTGACCGAAATAATATATAAATGATGGTTTTGTACCGATATATGGATAAAGTTTTTAAAAATAAATTAGCAAATAATGGTCCAAACTTTTTGTTGATTGTAGCCTAGTATAAGGTACTACATGTCACTCGACAATCTACATATATACCAGCGACTTTAAATGGAATTTCTCTATTTTAGGAATTCTAAGAACAACATTAGTAGTACATACCCTCTCACAAATACCTAACATATATAATTTTTTTTATAGCTACATTTATACCAACATAAAATGGACATGTTTGAGTATGAATCTGTTTAACAGCAGAGAACGTTTTCAAGCAACATATGTATCTCATTTATTATTATTCTTTTTCTACCTTTTTCATTTAATTTTAAGGGAGAGACCATGAAAGAACTTGTTGCTGCGGATGGCCTAAGTCAGAGGAGCCTATAACCAACGTATATGCCACTTCTTCATACGCATGTACTGCCGCAAGAATTCCAGATAATCACAAATAAGCCACCATGCCTGAGCCATATAGGACAACTCAAAGGCTCAAAGCTGATCCACATTGATCCTACCAGCGTCATGAAGTTTCGCCTAAAGGCACTAACTAAACCAACTAGTAAAATGATGTGAAATGACCAAACAATTACGTGAAATTCCAAGACACAACAACTTACTAAGGCCTTGATTGGTACGGCAGATGATAAATCATTAGCAGTATGCTGTAGAAGCTGTATGTTGCAGAAGCTGTATGCTTTCACTAAAAAATTTAATAAAGTGATTGGTAGAGCAGTAGCAGTATACAATTTTAAAAATTATTATAATAGTTGATATAAATAAATATTTATATTAAAATATATTTCTATATTTATAATATATATAAATATATTTTTATTAAAAATAATGAATCTTATTCATTAAATAAATTATATTATAGTTTATATGTAAAATATAACTATCTAAAAATGTAATTCTTTAAAAAATATTAAATTATTTTTTGGAGATAAAAATATTTAATTTTATGAAATAAACAAATTATATATAATGTATATACAAATTATTATTATTTATTGATAGAGTAGTAAATGATTCATATATAAAACTATCCTAAAAATTAATATATGTTATATAATTTATTTATTAATGTATAATTAATATATATATATGTTTATATTTATAAATATATAAATATATATTATGTTATGCTTGTTATTAAAAATAATGAATGATATGTGTAATTATATAAATTATTTTATATTTTAAATGTGAAATATTGTTCTTTTAAATAATTTAAAAATATTTAATTATAATTTTATTTTTTAATTTTTAAAATAGAAATTTATTTTTGATTATAAAAATACTTTTTGTATTATTAAACGACAATAAATTATATATGTATAATTATTTTTAAATTTTTTATATATTGTAATTGCAAATGCTCTATCAAAAACTCTATTGGAGAGCATTGAGCAAATAGCATTTGGAGAGCATTAGCATTTGGTAAATGCTTTTTCAAATGTTTCTTTGACAAATGTTAATTAGATAATAGAGAGCATAATACTTATACCAATCAAGCCGTAAAACAAGAATACAGTCATAAAACAAACGAGGCCTAACGGGCCGAGAGGAAAGCCCAAATACAAATCGGAAGTAGATAAAAGGCTTGAATCGACTGCTCAGAAGGACACCACTTCCCGTCCCTCACACTATCCTCGAAGCCCTAACATATAAAGGTCGCCGTTTCATCAACAAATAAGCGGCGTATCTTGCATTTCCCGATCAAGTTATGGCGGAGGAAGATGTCATCGCTTACCCTGTGCAGCCTTCCGACCACAAGCGAAAGCTTGAGAATGTCGAATCCGAGATCCTGGAGCAAAATCCCGGCTCGATTGATCAGTCTAACGAAGCTTCTGTAGACGGTGCCAAAGAAGCATCTGAGTATTCTCAGGCGAAGCGCCCGAAGATCGACGGCGAGGCTGACGATGGGTTAGGTATATATTTTAGGTTACAAACTAGGGATTTGGGTGAAAAGCCTTCACCTTTTTGTTTCTTGTATTCGTTGCTATGAGTAAATTGATTTGTTTTTGTTTAGGTATATATGAAACATGCAATCTCATCAGCCTCTTTTTTTTTCTTTTTTTTTGATGTAGGTGTTGGGAATATTGTAGAGAGGAAAGAAGAAAGTGGCGAGGAATCTGAAAATAAGATGGGTGATAATGGTAAACCTGAGGATAACCAACCAGATTCTGTTGAGGCTGCTGAAGAAAATAACCAGGTGACCACTAGTGCTTCTCCCCAGAGGAAAGCTGACGACACTAGTAAGGAAACGACTGATGCTCTTGTTCAGAAAGAAGTTGAAAAAGAAAGCAAGCTAGTGGATGATGATGGCTCTCACAAGGAAGCAAATGCTGGTGGCTGTCTGGAGAAGACTGGTGATGAGAGTAAGGAAGTTGATGGTAGTGGTTCTCATGAAGACGGAAGTAAAGAAGTAAATGGCGGCAGTTCTCATAAGGAGGTTGACGACACCCAGTCCACAACTCGTAAAATAGAAGTCCCCAGTTCAAAGGTGGTTCAGTTTACCTTTTTCTCTTGTGTGAATGAATCTTACTGAGGTATATCTCTACTTATTTATTTTCTCCACATACTTTACAGGTTGGCACGCTTATTGGTAAAGGTGGGGAGATGGTACGGAATCTTCAGCTCAGTTCTGGTGCCAAGATCCAAATTCGGAGGGATTCAGAGGCTGATCCCAATTCAGCTTTAAGGCCAGTGGAGATAATTGGAAATCTTGCTTCTATTGAGAAAGCAGAGAAGCTTATTAATGAAGTTATTGCTCAGGTTGAAAATTAGCTTTGTTTCTGTTTTTTAGTTAACAACTTTTGTTTTTTCTGTCTGACCTAAGAATTGTTTTCTTTCTTCTGCAATCGTAGTCTGAAGTTGGAGGTGTACCTGCCCTTTTTGTAAGAGGGGCCCCAGAACAAATCGAGATAAAAGTTCCAAATGATAAGGTATTCCCTGATAATTGTTCTACCTGGCCATTTTCTAAGTGATACCTAATCCATCTTCGACAGGTTGGTGTCATCATTGGCCGAGGCGGGGAAACTATCAAGAACATGCAGACAAAGTCGAGAGCACGGATTCAGGTTGTCCTTTCTATTTAATATTGATTGTATTAAGAGTACCGTGAACATTTGTGAAAGTATTTACTTAACTGATTAAAATACTTCTCATATAGTTAATACCACTTGAAGAAGGCGATGGCTCTAAGGAAAGGACTGTTCGTATTTCTGGGGATAAAAGGCAAATTGATATAGCTACGGCGTTGATAAAGGATGTCATGTATCAGGTCTGTCTTCTGATGTTATTTCTCTGAAAGATGTCATTGCTGTTAGTTTTTGCAACCTTGGAAATTGAAACGTGTGATTATTTAACTTTTTTGTTTCCTCATTCGTATTGGGGCATGTATTATCTGGTATATCATTATGTTTGATTTAATCTTAATTACATAGGTAATGAGGTGATAACTCTGTGTTTTTTAAGTGTTCGTGCTATGTTTTCTTAATTTATATAGGCATTTTTTTGTTTGCTAATGTTCTGTTCAATTGTTCTCTGTAGGAGTAGCTTGTTACCTATGATCAGTTATTTGTACACTCAACCATTGTTTTCTTGTTTCACTGATTCACATGATTTGTGTTTGGGGGAATAATGACTTTAGTTATGGATTTTTTGTTTCCTGATATTTCTGCTTTAAATATGTGCAAAGCCTGCTGTCTTAATTTACAACTTCAGTGCAAATATATGGTGGCTCCCCTAATCTTGTGAATAGCTGCATGTTGATGTCGTAAAAGAGTACTTTGGTTCATGCTATTGTGATAAGGAATCTTGAGAAAATATGTGTATTGTAAGAATGATACTCACTCTTGTTGAGAAAATCATATGTTCCCGTCCTCCATGTCAATTGCCATGATTCTTTAAGTTAAAAGTGTCAGATCTCGAACTGGTGTTGGCTTTAAAAATGCAGATGTGGCCATTACCTTTCAATTGAGGCCAGCGTTTCCTTGTTGGTGTACAATAGACGTCATCCAGGTCGACGGATGAAGGTATTTGGCATTTGTCACTCAGGCTTGCAGGTTATTGTAGTTGGTAAGGCTGCTTTTGTGTTTTGAAACTTCAAGCCCTTAGTGTGAGCCTGGATATATTACAGCACCTTTTTGTTAGATATGTTTGAATTACCATGCTAGAGGGGAGCCTGGTGAGACCATTGTGGATACTGTAAATGATTTCTTGTATCAAACATATACTGCAGGTTCACATAGGCTATGGTACTAAGTTGATGCCAGGGCTTCATCTTCAGTTTGAAACAGTTTCGAATGCTACTGACAGCTGATTTGTTTGTTGAGTCATCACTTTTATGGAATAGAATAATTTTTACCGTGTCATGTTCCTGAATGTCATCTTCTTATGATCTGTTTTGATGCATTTCTTTGCTGTGTTGCTGTGTTCTTAGTCAGATCCTCTTATTGGCTTCTCTTGAATTTCAGAGATTTCATGATATGCCACGAACCCTAGCTGCTTTGTTGCATATTTCGTTCTAGTTTAAGATTTTATAGTAGTACTATCATTTGTTTTTCTTTCTGTCAGTTGTTTGAGAATTTATGTTGTATTTGTTGTCTCTGAATGAACGTTTCATGGTTGTCTTTTGTAGGATACAAGGCCATCACACTATTCTAGTGGTTATAACTCGCCTGCTTACCAACCACGGGGACCTGGTGGTCCGCCTCAGTGGGGTGGTCCACGTGGTCCTCATGGGCCCCATTCAATGCCATACAATTATCACCATGGTGGACCTTACCCGTCTCATGGTTCACATTACAGACCTCCCAATTCCGGCGGTTATCCTCCACATCATATACCTCCGAGGAGTGGATATGGTTCTGGTTGGGAACAAAGGCCTCCACATTCTGGTCCGTATGATTATTACAGTAGGCAAGGACCTCAAAACCCAGGTCCTCTGCCCAACCATACTGCTCCGTATGCTCAGCAGAACTATGATAATCCTCCTATGCAGCAACCTTATGGTGGATACCAACAGGGCTATCCACCGGCAGGTGGTCAGCACCAAATGCAGCAGCCAAGTAGACCTTATGGTATGCAAGGACCAGCAGATCAAGGATATGGGCCTCCAAGGCCAGCAGCACCTTCTGTTGATGTGTCTTACCAAGGTCCAACTCAAGCAGCACCATCTTATGGTACAAATATGGCTCCACCACAACAGCAATATGGTTATGCATCAAGTACTCCTGGTCAGCCAACGTACCCTTCATACAGCTCTGCAGCACCCTCTGATGGTTATAATAGTTCACAAGCACCAGCAGTTGCCCCAGCTTATGAGCAGCATGGTGTTCTGCCAGCTTCCGGTGTGCAGCTGACATCAGCTGGGTATGGGCAAGCACCTCCAACCGGTGGTTATAGCTCATATCCCTCTACACAGCCGGCTTATGGTAATGCCCCGGCTCAGAGCAATGGAAACTACGGATACGGTCCTCAGTATCCTAGCTATGGGGGTGGAAACGCTTCAGCATATCCTACTGCTGCACCTGTTGGCCAAACCGTTTATTCCCAGAATGCAACTGGTCAGGCCGGCTACGATCAGTCTGCAACTCAGTCAGCAGGCTATGCAGCTGCTCCCGGAACAGCACAGTGAAGTCCTTGTTCCCTCAAATCAATCAGTATGATGCAGACTAGGCTTGTGATTGGAGTCGTGAGAAGATCACATGTATTCTCAGATTAGTAGACTTGTATCACTAAACTGCACATCCTGAATTAGACAGTCCCCAGTGGTTTCTTATGGCTTCTTATTATCGTTGGATCTAAAGGCGCATGACTTTGTTCTACCTTATATTTTGCACTGTGATCTGAGTAAACCTTAAGTTGTTGTTACTCTTGTACTGCTGCTATTGTTTAAGGTTTTTCCTAAAATATAGTCTGGAATCTTTTATTATTCTTGCTCCAAAGGTTTTTTTATGCATCCTACATTTCAGTAGTTAGGTTCGAGAGTGTTTTAGGGTTTGACTGGTTACAACACATCGGTGGTTACCGGTCGTTTACATATGTGGGGGATTGCTGTTTTAAATGCGGATTTAAGTGTTAGTAAGAGATTTAGACGACTATTTCAATCGTTAAGAATTTTATAATATAAATATTTTGATATTTCAGTTATTTTAATTTCAAATTTTAATTGAATATTTTATTTTTATATTTATATAGTTTTGTGGAATTTTTTTTTTATCCTCCTGCAAACGCTAACTGGAACTAACTTTAGAATTTTAGAGATTCAAAGCGATTTGAAACAGTTTATACCATTTTCTATGATTGCTGCAAAACGCCAACAATCGCTACCAACAACAAAAGCTGCGTTTACGGGTGATAGCTGGAGAACCAATCAGACCCTTAGAGCATGTACAATCAAATCAAATATAATATTAATATAGAATTAATAAAGTTAAGGATGATTCTCAAATTAAGGATTAAAATGAGGCCGTCCTTGTTGACGTGACAGCAACAAGGAAATCTCTATCGCTGCATCTTCGTCTCAAGTTCCATTGCTTCTTCTTCTTCGTTGAGGTATGATTTTTCTTTCTCCTCTTTGAGCATAATGATTCTGTAACGACCCGATTTTGGTTTCAATATTTGTTAGCTTGCTAAAGCTTATACCTCTCCTCTATAAATATCCAAACCCCAGCCTTGTTTTCTCCACCTGCACAAGAAAAAGAAAAATAAAAGATGAGAGAGAGAGAGAGAAGGAGAGAGAGAGAGCTCAAGAGGAAGAAAATGGGAAAACCCTTGTGCATGAGCTACCAGGAGCTGTCGCCAGAGTCACCACACGCCAGAATCATGTTGAGCACACCACCACCGTTTGTAACCACCAGAAGCCGCCGTGAACCGCCTTGCCATTAAGCTTTGTTTTGTCCGTTCAGTAAATCATCGATAACTCCTAAACCGTTGAGAATCTCGCGCATTCAAGGCCACCACCGTGTTCTACTCGTCGAGACGAATCCGTAGACACCAAAAACGCCGCGATCCGACCTCAGACGAAGCCACAAGCGCCCTCCGAAGTTTCGCCGGAAACCACCGTCCGCCGCCGGACCGCCGCCGGACCGCCGTTGCCTCCGGTAAGCCTCCGCCATCCTCCGCCGTCGCCGCCGGTGACCAGCCACCGGTGACTCGCTGGCGACTCGGCCAACTCGGCCGAGTCGACTCGGTGAGTCAACTCGGTTGACTCGGTCAACGGTTAGTTGACCAGTTTAATTGATTTCGGTTTGGTTAGGGTAAACCGGTCGGTTATAATCAATTGGATTTCGGTTAGGGTAAACCGGTTAATTAAATTGATTTAGTTTTGGTTATCTCGAATCGGTTGGTCCAATTGAATTCGATTTCGGTTAAGGAAAACCGGATGGTTTAATTCAATTTTAATTTGGATAAGGTTTGACCAGGGTTGACTTTGACTTGCGAGCTGACTTTTTGACTAATCCACCCGAAACCCGTTTTAAGCCGTTCGAAAGCCGTTCTGACTCGATTTTTTGCCCTGATCTCAGATTTGGAGTCTATTTGAGCATCTGGAGTTCATAGATACCACTTATTTTCATTGCTAAGGTGAGGGCTACTCCATTTGAACCCCGAACTAGTTTAGTACTGCTATTATGAAAAGTCTAGTTTCGAAACATGTTCTGTCTCTCTGAATCGAGTCTATTTGAGAGTCTTGTTTGTTTACTTATTATTATTGATTGTTAACCGGAAATAGGATAATAGATGATTCAACGGTTGTGTGACATGATTGATGATAAGAATTGTTATATATATGTATATATATATATATATACGAGTCCATGTGTGAGAGATTGCGGGGGTGCGGAGACGTCTGTACTAGGTACGCCTTGTTTGAGGAGATTGCGGGGGCACATAGACGTCTGTGCTGGCGCCGCCTTGTTTGAGGAGATTCGCCGGGTACAGAGACGTTTGTACTAGCGGGCTGTAGAGATTGCGGGGGTACGGAGTGGACTACCATACTAGCGACGCCTGTAGAGTTATACACGTATATCCTTATGAGGAGAATGCGGGGTGCAGAGAGTAGCTATGTACTATCATCGCATTGATTGTAGTTGTCTAGTGCACTAGACATATATTGATTGTTCTGTGAGGTGTACTAGGCACCATGTTTGTTACATGCTAGAGTTAGGCCTACATAGTCGTAGTGCTATGTACTGAGTCAGTGGTTTGAGGTTTAGCATCCCTTACCTCACTGAGCAACTCCCCTGTTGCTCACCCTCCTTTCCTTCCCCCTTTCAGGTGAGACCGATGAGCAGGAGTAATTATAACGGATCGGTGCTTTTGGGTTATTGGGCTTTTACGTCTCGTATCTTTCGAATTTCACAAGTTTGTACGTTTGGGCTTTTATCGCTAATGGGCCTTCCCACTATTGAAATTTTATCGTTTATGTTATTATCGATATTTCAGAAATTATTCTAATTACTTGATTTTTCCGACGTGAACTTTGACTTTTTAATATTTTTAATAAAGATATTATTTATTATTGTATTATTATTTATTATTACTAGTTTCAAAGTGACGGGTGTCACATTTTTGGTATCAGAGCGTGGTTCCGTCCCGGCTCCGACCCGGGATGGCGATTCGTGGAGACCTGGATTTTTAACTCGGATTTTAATTCGATTTTGCTTTGATTTTGCACGATTTTAAAAGTATTTTGGGGATTTGGGAATTTTGAAAATAAAAACCAATAGCACCCTTCTGCTCGTTTAATCGAATTGTCTCTTTTTGTCGATGAGTAAAGTCATCGTCATCCGTTTGCTAGCTAACAGGTTTCCAGCCAGAGGTTCAAGTTACGAATGGAAGATGTCAAGAGTTTATCAGATTTCTGAGGCGTTTATCAGTTTCGTCGGTCGTGTTCAGAGATTGTCTTCGAGTGGATATGTGTCGTTTCCACCACCCAACTCTAAGTTATCATTCCATGAGTTTGTTCCAAGAGTTTATGAGATATGAGATATAAGCCATTGGTTGCCATGTGTTATGTTGTGTATGAGTATATGGATTAAATGGAGTTATGTTTGGTTTGTAAGCTCGTGGGGATCACTTTTGGAAGTAGGGGTGCGACAGCTTGCCATGTGTTGATATTAGAGTTTCACTTGATGTTTTTTTCCAGTTTGTGGGTAGTGTTGATCATTTCGGAGATGTGTCAGTTTGGGCAGCTGACAAATGACATTTGGGAGCTATTTGTATTTATCAAGTTGTACCAGTTATGCTTGGAGGAGTTGAGTTATTCAGAGTTTCGGCAGAGATTGAGTTGACCTTCTGTGATGTTATTCTTGAGATGTATTGGTTATCACGACATTGATTAGTATTGGATTGTCTGTATTTCTAGAGCAGAGGAGATTTTTATAGCCACCATTCTACATGTTGAATAACTTTAGGATGAAAGATCATATGGATATTTGAGACCATTTTGATGGTTAAGGACGATGGAAAGCATGAGCTGCAGGACCTTTCAGTTATAGAGTATGAGGATGTATTAGAGACCTTTGGAAGGGTCATCGCCAAGCATAGGAGACGCTTTGGCGATTGAAATGGAACGAAGGACGCCACCGTATTCATGAGTTCAGTACATATTAGCGCCAGCAGAGATTATCAAGCTAAAGGGAAAATGAGAGTTTCATCAGACAAATGTTTTTTTTCGGACCGAGTATTTCACTATGAGTGCCACTAGTTTTGTTGCGAGGACAAAGAGATGGAGTTTCATATTTGGTATCGATTACAGAGTTTTGAATAAAGTGATCATCAAGGAAAAGCATCTGTTTATGCGCATTGATTAATGGTTGGATTAACTACTAGGAGGTTCATTGCTTTCGAGGATTGCCTTGGCATCAGGATACCATCAGGTTGCTATAGCTGAGGAGTATGTACGGAATACAGATTTACGTATGCGCGATGGATATAGTGAGTTTGTAGCGATACTACTTGGGGCATGAATAAAGTATTTTGCGAGCAGTTGGATAAGTGCATGATTGTATACATCGACGACACCGTGGGTATTGTTGGAATATGGCGAAGTAAGATGAGCATAGGCAGATTTTATATTTTTAATACAAGAAGGTCAGATCATTGCATAAGCAGCGAACCAGATGAAGAGTAAGAATATGGAGCATTTTGGAATGGAAGTTAAGAGATTAAGTGGAGAGAACTACCAAGCAGAAACCAGTCTGAGTTATCGAGTTGTCTCTTTTACCATCACCATCATAATGGAAATGTATTAAAATTTAGGTGTGGTCAGTTGGAATATATTTCGAGGCCATATATTCAGTGCGCAATTTGGAGTTAGCAGCATTTGCATCGGCTTTGGAGTTTTGGGGATCATCATTGTATGGCAATGAAGTTCAGGTTGCATGGGATCATCAGATTCTAGAATGTATGTTCACTCATTAGAGCTTGCCCTTGAGACCGTGGAAATAGATTGAGTTGGTAGTCGTCTACAGTTTGGATATCACCTGCCCTTTGGTAAGGACAACCAGATGGCAAATGCCTTAGGTAGGCACATGAGCAAAGACTTAGGAAACAAGAAGATTCAGGAGTTTACTACGACACCTACAAGCCTCCGGATCATGTACAGTTCAGTAGAGGAGGATACATTTGGTATTGGAGCATTGGAACATACAATTTACTATGGAGATTACACCAAGCTCAAGATAGCGATATGGATTTGGTTAGGTGGATCGAGTTTGAGAGTGTTGTATATCAGTCAGTTTCAAGAAGGATGTACTTGTAATCAAATCGAGTTTGTGTATCGGACGATAATTTTGTTAAGAAAATGGATCTTACAACAAGCACAACACTCTCATTTCTTTATCCATCAGGAAATAAAAAGGGATACAAAGCTATGAAGTGTCACTATCATTGGCCTATTATGAGAAAGATTGTAGCTACATTGCATCACAGTATGAATATGTCAGATGGTTATGTTCAGGATCAGATATCTTCCAGGTTATTGTGGAGCTTACTTTTGTAAGAATGGAAATGAGGCATGGGGACTATGTATATTGTTACTGGATTTTTTTCGTCCATCGCGGGTGGGAAGGATGCCACATGGGTAGTCATGGACAGACTCACAAAGCTAGCTCATTTCCTAGTAATTAAGAAGACAGACAAGTTGATCAGTTGGCGCCGTTTTACAACAGTGAGATTATGAGGTTGCATGAAGTTTTTATCAGCATTGTAATGGATCGGGATGTCAGTTCACGTCTACATTTGGAAAGTCTTTCAGAAGGAACTTGGGTCAAAGGTTCATATGAGTCCATTTTACCATCCACGGACAGATGGTCAGTCAGCGAGGATTTTATGGGATATGTTCAGAAATTGCATCTTACACTGGGAATGAAATTATGGAAGCATCTACCTTTAGCACAATTTGCTTACAGTGACAACTAACCTTCGAATATTGAGATAGCATCATATGAGACTCTTTTGGATAGGCATCATCGTACACCACTTTGTTGGACAAAAGTGGGGGAGCAATATAGGTAGAACTATTAATGGTTCCAGAGACAGTAGAACAGATGGACATGCTCAAATTTGGTTTTGGAAAAGGCCATCGCCATCAGAGGATTATACAGATAAGCATCATAAGGATTTGGAGTTCCAGATAAAAGATCGAGTAAACCTGAAAATAAGGACATTTCAGGCAGGAGATAAGATTCGAAAGTTAAAGAAGTGTAAATCGAAATATGTGGGTACATCTTCTATTGTGAAGCGGATTAGAGCAATTGCATACAGATTGGATTTATCAGCAGAGTTATCGGACTTCCATGACGTGTTCCATGTTTCGGTTTTAAGAAAAGATGTAAAAGAGTCAGAGCTCGTTTTGCAGTAACCTTCAGTTAACCTCAACGAGATTTTATGCGACTTGTCATCCAGTGAAGATTACAGATCGTCAGATAAAAGCATTTGAGGGAATGTCGACGGTGTTTTTGTTGGGAAAGAGGGGATTCAGTAGAAGACTTCAGAGTCTGAGTATATTTATTATTTGGAGCTCGCTACGATGATATTGGATAGTCGACGGATGACTCGAATTCGAGGACGAATTCTTTATTAGTGGGGAAGAATTGTAACGACCCGATTTTGGTTTCAATATTTGTTAGCTTGCTAAAGCTTATACCTCTCCTCTATAAATATCCAAACCCCAGCCTTGTTTTCTCCACCTGCACAAGAAAAAGAAAAATAAAAGATGAGAGAGAGAGAGAGAGAAGGAGAGAGAGAGAGCTCAAGAGGAAGAAAATGGGAAAACCCTTGTGCATGAGCTACCAGGAGCTGTCGCCAGAGTCACCACACGCCAGAATCATGTTGAGCACACCACCACCGTTTGTAACCACCAGAAGCCGCCGTGAACCGCCTTGCCATTAAGCTTTGTTTTGTCCGTTCAGTAAATCATCGATAACTCCTAAACCGTTGAGAATCTCGCGCATTCAAGGCCACCACCGTGTTCTACTCGTCGAGACGAATCCGTAGACACCAAAAACGCCGCGATCCGACCTCAGACGAAGCCACACGCGCCCTCCGAAGTTTCGCCGGAAACCACCGTCCGACGCCGTGCTCCGCCGCCGGATCGCCGCCGGACCGCCGCCGGACCGCCGTTGCCTCCGGTAAGCCTCCGCCGTCCTCCGCCGTCGCCGCCGGTGACCAGCCACCGGTGACTCGCCGGCGACTCGGCCAACTCGGCCGAGTCGACTCGGTGAGTCAACTCGGTTGACTCGGTCAACGGTTGGTTGACCAGTTTAATTGATTTCGGTTTGGTTAGGGTAAACCGGTCGGTTATAATCAATTGGATTTCGGTTAGGGTAAACCGGTTAATTAAATTGATTTAGTTTTGGTTATCTCGAATCGGTTGGTCCAATTGAATTCGATTTCGGTTAAGGAAAACCGGATGGTTTAATTCAATTTTAATTTGGATAAGGTTTGACCAGGGTTGACTTTGACTTGCGAGTTGACTTTTTGACTAATCCGCCCGAAACCCGTTTTAAGCCGTTCGAAAGCCGTTCTGACTCGATTTTTCGCCCTGATCTCAGATTTGGAGTCTATTTGAGCACCTGGAGTTCATAGATACCACTTCTTTTCATTGCTAAGGTGAGGGCTACTCCATTTGAACCTCGAACTAGTTTAGTACTGCTATTATGAAAAGTCTAGTTTCGAAACATGTTCTGTCTCTCTGAATCGAGTCTATTTGAGAGTCTTGTTTGTTTACTTATTATTATTGATTGTTAACCGGAAATAGGATAATAGAGGATTCAACGGTTGTGTGACATGATTGATGATAAGAATTGTTATATATATGTATATATATATATATATATATATATATATATATATATATATATATATATATATATATACGAGTCCATGTGTGAGAGATTGCGGGGGTGAAGAGACGTCTGTACTAGCTACGCCTTGTTTGAGGAGATTGCGGGGGCACATAGACGTCTGTGCTGGCGCCGCCTTGTTTGAGGAGATTCGCCGGGTACAGAGACGTTTGTACTAGCGGGCTGTAGAGATTGCGGGGGTACGGAGTGGACTACCGTACTAGCGACGCCTGTAGAGTTATACACGTATATCCTTATGAGGANGTACAGAGACGTTTGTACTAGCGGGCTGTAGAGATTGCGGGGGTACGGAGTGGACTACCGTACTAGCGACGCCTGTAGAGTTATACACGTATATCCTTATGAGGAGAATGCGGGGTGCAGAGAGTAGCTATGTACTATCATCGCATTGATTGTAGTTGTCTAGTGCACTAGACATATATTGATTGTTCTGTGAGGTGTACTAGGCACCATGTTTGTTACATGCTAGAGCTAGGCCTACATAGTCGTAGTGCTATGTACTGAGTCAGTGGTTTGAGGTTTAGCATCTCTTACCTCACTGAGCGATTCCCCTGTTGCTCACCCTCCTTTCCTTCCCCCTTTCAGGTGAGACCGATGAGCAGGAGTAATTATAACGGATCGGTGCTTTTGAGTTATTGGGCTTTTACGTCTCGTATCTTTCGAATTTCACAAGTTTGTACGTTTGGGCTTTTATCGCTAATGGGCCTTCCCGCTATTGAAATTTTATCGTTTATGTTATTATCGATATTTCAGAAATTATTCTAATTACTTGATTTTTTCGACGTGAACTTTGACTTTTTAATATTTGTAATAAAGATATTATTTATTATTATATTATTATTTATTATTACTAGTTTCAAAGTGACGGGTGTCACAGATTCATTATTGTTGGTCTCTAAACTAGCTTCGGCGAGGTCAACAATATAAAGTTTCGATTTTTATAGTCTAATTTAATCGAATTTGTGTATCAACTTCAATAGAGCGAATATGTTTCTGCACGAGACAAACGCCGTGAGTTGGTGTCTGGATTTACTGAAAGTACAGATTTGTGTTATGTTTTATCTAATCTCTGGTTTTGTAATCATCATTGACTGGATCTGTAAGCTCTCTCTTTGTATATGATAGGTTTGGCATTAATCACAAAGAAACGAAGCAAGGCTTTGGACTGATGGACGCTACTTCTTGCAAGTGATTCAACAACTTAGTGATGAGTGGACACTCATGTGTATATGGGAGAAGATCCTCTTCTTGAAGTTTAGATGTCTAATGTGAGTCATGAAGTTTTAATTTAATGTTTTGATTTTGCGTTTATTGAAGTGTTTTGGTTTATGGAATATGTTAGAATCTGTGTGAAGAAGCAAACATTGGTGTTGATCCATGGTGTGTCTCGGTAGACACAGCTAACAACAGGTGGCGAAAGGCCTTTACTAAGAAGAGTCAAAACATTATTCCGACAACAACTGATCTTGTGGATGAAGTCTGGAAGAGCCGTCCACCTTCTGAGATGAATCCAGTTCTTGTTCATCCGTTGGAGTTTGATGGCCGCTCTGTCTCCAAGAAGTTAACAAATTTGAGAGCAAAGCTTAAGCAAGAGAGTGTGCGAGGTCTGGTAATTTCTTCTCTTGATGAGGTTGCTTGGCTATACAATATCCGTGGAACCGATGTTGCTTAATGTCCCGTTGTTCATGCCTTTGCAATAGTTACAGCCGACTCTGCGTTCCTCTATGTGGACAAGAAGAAAGTATCCAGTGAGACGAGTGAGTATTTCAAAGGGCTTGGTGTAGAGGTCAAGGAGTACACAGATGTGATCTCAGATGTGGCATTGCTTGCTTCGGAACAACTCTTTTCATCATTCTCATCTAAAAGTGAGGCTACTAAGGACATGGAGATTGATTCTGACCAGACTGATCGGTTGTGTTAGACCCTGCTTCATGCTGCTATGCACTTTATTCCAAGTTGGATGCTGATAAGGTCCTCTTGTAACCATCTATCTCCTCTCTCACTCCCAAAAGCGTTAAAGGTAAATAACTAATGAATACTTTTGTTATCATTTTAAGACTAATGAGTTTTCTCTTTTGTAGTTGATCTGAAGAAGCAGGCTACCTGTCTGGTACAGCTAACCAATACATCCGATCGTTATGTTGCATTTAAGGTCATAAACACACACATTTTTTTCTCCATCTTTATTGTCTCGCTTTAGGATATGTAATTTCTTCAATTTTGAGAGTTGCAATTTTTTATTCTTAAAAATTTCTAATTGGGTAACACCATTGGACAAACATTTTTGATTAGAGTTTTTAACTATTCAAAAAGAAAAAATTAATTACTAAAATAAGGTTAAGGACCGAGATGCTCTTAGTAAAGAACATGTTCATTGTGCTGCTTCTCATGGAAATAAACAATTGCAATTTAGATCTTAACCATTTTGCCATTACACTTCCAGACAGTTGATTCTGTCTATAATTGTATAGTTACATCAAAATATTAAAGTACGACACGGAAAAGAGACAATAAAGTGACTCGTTGTGGTCTAAAGGCGGACTACCCTGAGGAAGGTTTCATATGCAGACTGGAGGCGGCTTCTATGGTCTTTACCTTTGGTGTTTTTCAGATAGTGAGCAACTTTGATAAACCCTGCGTGTTGCTGAAACATCACAGACGGATCCTCTTCCTCTTGCGCCCTTAATGATGATTGTTCTTGCTCTCCATTAGGTTGTGGCATTGTATGTGCCCACTGCATCCCCCATATAGCTAATGGCCTCATGTAGCAAAGTGATCTATACTCGTCGTTTGTTGTCCAAGCTTCTGGTGTCTGAAATGAGACGCTGTAACCAAGAACGAAATTATTTGGTCAAGCAAACATGGATGAACTAATAAAAAAGAAAAATAACTAATGAGCTTACCCGAGACCCCGGTCGGACCAAGCTGCCTCGTAGATTCCACTCGCTGTACTAAACCCTTTGTCCGCAAGCCCTTCTTGAATCATACAAGCCGCGACCGAGTATGTAGTCCCGGCCCAAACCTCCCTCGACACCATTGTGCTTGTGTCTACTCGTCCATCCGGTAACATCCCGTTCACAGCCCCACGCGTCCCTCCTCTCACTCTCATCACATTGAAGTCGTAGACCGTCTCCAACGCTTTCTTTATCCACTCTTCTTTCGCTATCGGCTTCAGTCCACAAGCTCTGGCGTACCATTGTCCAGCTAACTGATCAGCCAAGATTGATGAGCTCGAGCCGCTTCGACTGTTATCATAGTTGAAATAAGAACCATTCCAGAGCTTCTCGTAAACGCTTCTAGCTTTCTCATACTTGGCGTTGAAGTAAACCGCAGCATCATTGTCCCCAACTTCAAGGGCCAAAGCAGAGCCGGCCTGGAGAGCCGCGACCCAAAGACCACCACAGTAAGCGCTAACTCCAGTGCAAGACCAAGCATCATACGTCTGATCGGGAAACCCTTCATTCTCTATCATCCCATCTCCGTCTTTATCAAACTGGTCCAAGTAAGCGATGGCGGTGTAAACCGATGGCCAAACAGATTTCGCAAAGTTTAGGTCACCGGTTGCAACAAAGTCTCTGTAAACTTGAAGAACAAACTTGGAGTTCAAGTCTTTCCACCTATCCGTGTTGAACAAGTTATAAGCATTTACTTCAAACCATGGATCGTTCAAACCAATATCGTGCGGAACCGCTCCGAGAACTTTTCTTGTAACGAATTCGCCGGAGCTCATGACCTGTTTCTTGCTAGAATCATGCATCAGAACGGCTGCCGCAAAATCTCTCTGGATGCTTAGCTCGAGTTTTGGGAAAAGCATGAGCAATGCGAAAGAGGAGTAGAAGTGAACATCATAGGTATTGTACATTAGATACTGGATCCCTTCTAGGTAAAGGAATTGTCCTATGTTTTCTTCGGTAGGGATAGTGGTTCCGAGGGGGGCAGCATTTGAGGATAGAGGAGCGTGAATCTGTGAGCAGACCGCATCGATTCTGCTTAGGATATCTAAGGCTATGTTGTTCTGATCTGAATCATTATTGTCTGTGGTTGTTGATATGCTGAGAGAGATCTTTCCTCTTCCTATACTATCTAGGCTTTGCTTCGGAGGTAACCCATCTATCAAGAAATCGGGTTTAGAAGAATTAACGTTACAGAAAACTACATAAGTTTGTGGAAGGATCAATGTTTGTTACCTGTCCAGATGGTTCCTCCTGAGTTGAAATAATATAGTTCGTTGAAGAGAGTTGTTCTATACCTGAAAATTATTTACGGTTGATTTCTTTAGCTCAACTGAATTTAGAAAAACTATAGGCAAAAGTTATTTACCATTCAGGAAGTGTAGTGTCAGCAAGAATAGGAGCTTGCCACTCTTCAATCTGAGTCTCCCACTCAGAAAAGTCTAACAACAAATAAGAAAGAAAGCCTCATGTGATGATATGATCTCTTACTTTAGTTAAGAGTTAATTACAAAAAGAAAAGAAAAAAGAATATTGTTTGCATACTGAGAAGAGCGTCACGAGCCATTGCCACTGCTGCATTTCCTAAACCGCCATAGAATCTTGTGTATCGTCTATTGAGTATAAATTTTCAAATTAGAAACAACTTTTTTTATGCTGAAACTATGTATCGGATTGAAGTAACACACATGCATACCTGTGGTATGTTTTCTCGTCGAATCTAGCCTCAGGACAGTCCCAAGAGAGGGAGAATGTTACTGTACGGTCACATCCTGGTGGAACCTTTACCTTTGCTGCTATCGCTGCTCCAATGGAAGTTCCAGGTTTTGACGGAGAGCATGCGTTGCTGGTTAACTTGTCGAATGATGCGTTCTAAGAGTGGGAAAAAAAAGAGAAAAACATTAAAACTTTTATCTTTCTTCTACATTTTTTTAATAAGGAAGACTTGAAAATATTGGTTAAAAAAATATATATAACCTTTTTAATCTCATCCCACATATCTCCTGCTGTGATTTTGTTTGGGCTAGTACCGGAAACTAAGAAACATGGACACGAGGAGACACGAACATCCTCTGTTTCTTTTGCTGCAATTGCGTAGGTTACTGGTGGGTGTCCATTTGCTGTGCTGTAAGATAAGTTGCATAACAATTATCAGCATAATATCTTCCAATAACCAACAATAAAATAAAAGCACTAATCCAATCAAAGAGTCAGAGAAAGTGGTCTCTACTTGTGGTGTAAAGCCACTGCATGAACTCCATCTCTTGCCCTAGAAGATTTCGTATAAGAAACAAGATTTAGTAAAGGAAACACATAGAAACACCTGTTGCAGCATTTGATGAAATTTCTTACATCATTGTTGAGTTTAAGTGATGGCCAGTTAACCCAGAAGTGCCTCCCACAGAATTCTAATTAACCACAGAAACAAATGGATCAATTTTGCATGGAGATTTTATTACAGAGTGAAAATAAAAAAACCAATCTCCCAGAGGTTCTTAAAGGAGATGAACAATGGGAGAGTTTTATGTATTAAGATTAGTTACCTCCCAAGTGAAGAGCAAAGTAACAGTTGCTTGTTCTGCTCCAGTATTAGTCACCTGAAACATGACATGAATCAATCAACTCATCATACGTTTGTTACCTAAGTTGCCATGTTGAGGTTAAAACCATTGCACATTCATACCGTGAAGTTGAAAACCGATACCGGAAGACTGGTTTCCTTGTAATTATGAGGTATAAAGGGAGAGACTTGTCGAGAAACTATTCTGAGTTCAGGGTCAGGTTCACCTGTTCATCAAGTACACACATTTTTTTTCATAATTAACCTTCATAAACCAAGAATTTTGCAATAGTTTTAATCTATAGTAAACATGATTAAAACATTTCACGGAAAGAACATTAAACCTTGGTAGACGGTCCAAGACCTAGGATAAAGAGCATGGTAAGTGGATTTTTCCCCTGTCATGTTCCAATCCCAAGAATCAATTCCTACATTTGGAGCTTCACCTCTGCACAAATAACCTCCATTGTCTCTGCTCATCAATCGAATACAATAACATAATTAAGATCATTAGCACATTCCTTATATTTCTTTAACTATGGCTCTGATGGAGACACGAAGGAAGAAAATAAATGGATTTGGCATACTTAATAACTTCTGGCTTTGTTGGACATAGAACAGTTGAGTGTTTCACACCGCCCGGGCGAGAAACAAATACCTATGTAAGTTTTTTTTAAAAAAAAAAAAAAAAACAAGAAGCATGAGAGGGATACTTCGTAAAGCTATCAAACAGACAAGATATGGTTTACAACAGAAGAATCCAAGCAATGTTCAGTACTGTTTACTTACAGAGAATTGATTTGTGAGGATTGGAGCTTCCTCGCAGATCTTTGGGAATAGCTTGAACTGCTGAAACTCTCCCTTGTAACTCCTTCCAATGCTTCCTGCCCTGATACACAGGTTTTTCCCACGCAGGTTTGTCCATTAATACATTGCAACGGAGAATCTTAAGACTTTGGAGCATTATTGTTTTTATTCCTATGTAACTGTGAAGCGTATGTGGATTCCATACCCAATTCCACCTAAAGGGACCCCATGATCTCCAGTTATATGGTGTTTTCTGAAGATATCGAAGATAGAAGCCTGCAGGTTTTTGGAAATTTCAACATTTGATGAAAACATAGATCATCAAAGGTTTATGATCATAAGTAATAAAAATGTGAGATCACTTACTCTTCCTTTTGCGGCTTCTTCTTTGGTGTGTCGCCACAATCTGTAGCCTAATGGAAACTTTGGAAAATCCAAAACATAGAGGGCGAGAGAGGTTTAATTTATTAATTTATTTATTTTTAATTTCCCAAGAACAGAGCATCTGACCTAAAGCATAACTTGAACAGAAAGATGGTAGATCGAAAGAAAGATGATATTACCAGATGAAGATGATCTCTTTTAGTCAGTTTGAACTCAGAA